CTGAATTGCAGTCAATAACTACAGCTATACAATCACTGGGAAATGGTGGGAAACAGAACAAGTTTCAGTGAATGTCAATGGAACCTAACTCTGCATTTATCCTAAAATAATAGTCTATTTTTCACTCAAAATTTATTTTAAAGTAATTGTTATTTTTTTTAAAAGATATTAGGGCAATACTATTATTATTTTTTTAAACTCTAACCATATTGTATATCCTATCAGACATGTCTCTCTTTCTCTTCTATTCTTTCTTAAGGGAACACAATTGTTCCCAAATTCTTAATCTAGAAAAAAAAGAAAAAAAAAAAGAGAAAAAGGTAAAAAACCGACTATTATCAAGCTATAAAAGAAATATACACTTGTTTTCGGTAGATACATCAAGTATTGTTCTCAGCCTCATTGCCTGAGATCAATTGCATTACTAAGACAGTCTTCTTCGTTTCTTTGACTTAGAAAGTCTTGCTTTCTTGTGCTTTATAGTATCACCTTGGAGAAATTGAGACAACGAGACTTCTTTTTGAGGATGAGGAGAAGGGTTTGAAATGGGATTTGGGAAGAAGCATCCTATTACGTCTCCAACATGACAGTCAAGATCAAAATCTGATGACTCTGATTCTGATGACACCGAGATGCTTGCACTTGAAGCATGTAGAAAGGATGTGTTATCCAGAGCCTCGCCCGAAACGATTGTAGATGATACAGTGTTGTCTTTTGATTTCAGTTCCTTTGATGATGAACCTTTGTTCTTCTGTTTTGATGCATTTGATTGGAGTACCCGTGTCTTTATTTCTGCCCGAATGGAATCAACTGTGCTCCATTCATTGCTAATAGAAATTGATGAATCTGGAAACTTGTACACTTTCTTCTCCTGTTCTTTTGGGTGGGGGTTTGTGTCTGAACCATCTTTGGAGGTGGAATGCAATGTCAAATTAAGATCCTCTCTAGCCCATCTATAAACTGCACTTAGTTTTCCCTCCAATGCTTCAACAAGAGTATTTAACTCGCTGATGTTGTAACGATATAGGAAAATCCTCTCTGTCCAAGGACAAAAACAAAGCTGCTTTGCATGAATTAGACATGAATATGTATTTGCAGAACATCGACAGAATGCTGCTGAAAGATGCAAGTCACATAAACATATACTGCATTCCTGTTTGCTGATAGCGTCAAAGTTTGCATCCATCCTCAGTGATTGAGAAGAGATGCAGAGATATTTCCTTCTATTGCCTTCCCACATGACACGAGACTGCATTTATGCACATATGAGAGTATGAGAAAGTGGTTTTATTATCATTATTTCTTTGGGTGGGGGGAGGGAGGGAGATATGAAGAAAGTGAAAAAGAAATTTATAAGCACGATTTCAGCAAGGATAATAGATCTGGCAGCATAAAATGGCAGCCCCATCTGTGAAATGCAATAATACAAAGTAATGGTCTAAGTGAAAGATAGAGACAAAGTGAAGGGGTATGAGCATGAAATTAAAGGAACTTACTTTGAGTGCTTTAGCTAAGGCCCCGTCCTCTCCGCAGGCATCTTTCCATCTTAAATTATCTGATGTGTTCTTCTTTAATAATGAGAGTTCCCACTGTGCTCTCACAGCTTCTCTGGCAGCACTTATCAACAACTTATCATGAGAAATCGATGTAATTCTTTCCTGTTCTCGATAGAATTCTACAGCATTCTGCCCATGAGGCAACCAATCAAGAGGAGCAAAATTTACCGCTTCAACGCAATTAAACCCACAATTAAATCCAGAATGACAACTTCCTGGAAAAACCAGAACAAACTCCCTAGGATGCTGAATGCAGTGGCAGACAGGTACACCCTCAGACTTCAAGATGAAAGGGGATAATCCAGGGCCCTGCATCAAGTTCTATCTTCATCACATAACAGAACTATATGTGCAAAATAACGATGAAAGGTAAACATTATTCATTCTGTAGTTTACAAAATTATAGTTTAGAAATATTGTTCAGGCAAAATTGAAATAGTAAAAAAAATTGTTAAGTTATTCACTGATAATAACAATACATGATCTACCACACATGCCATCAACGAGATGGTAAAACATCTCAGTAACATATGTCATAACAAAAGTTCAGTAAGAGTACATATGCAGTGAGATACATGGAGTCACAAAGTTGCATACATAAATGAGGAAGAAATTTTCCATAAAAAAGGAAGGAAATTGACTACTTATAAATCTTTGACCCACCTTAGGCTGTTTAATTAACAAATCCAGATTGTATTTCCTCACAGCAGCCTCAAATTCAAAGGAATATCTCCAAGGGATGGCATACCATACTTTAGGTTCACCCAAATGCACATAATAGAGTGCATACAAGTGGTGTTCTTCAACTTTCTGTTTTCAAAATTAAATCAATAAATAAAAGCGAATATAGGTAGTTAAATCCAAAAAGAGAGACAACATAATGACAAAATGATATAGCTTTTACATTGTGTATTAATAACTGTCTCATGACCTCCACAAATAAACCCATAAATAATCAGCATTTTCTATAATGTAGCAGGAAAAACATCTGAGCAAGTAGTCATAGATCAATTAAGTCATTCCTTACCCAACGAAAGGATGAAAAGAGCATTCCTATGTGCAGCCTAGGCACTGATATACTGGAAGTCTGGTCACTTTCAAAAGAAAGAAGAGAACCAGGAAGCTTAGGTACATTATTTAGGTTCCAGCCTGAAGTAAGATACTCAGAACAATTGAACATCTCCAGAGGATTAGATACTGTTGGAAATCCACTGCCAAAAGATCTAGTATCCAAATTGTCACAATGTAACACCTAAGAGAGAACAGAAGCATATTAACCTAAGCCGCCATTTGAAACAAAATAACAGACTGAAAGATGATTATGTGCATTCAACACACCTCTATTTCTTCAGAAGGACTTTTCACAATCCGATTATATTCATCCCCAATTTCCTTGACTGATGGCTCCCACTGATTTGAGTTGGCAGAATCTCTTTCAACCTTACATTTTGATCTAAAATATTGCTCAGCAAAACCATCTGCATGTTTTTTAAATGTTTCAAGAGTATGCTTTGGACCAGGTTTAGACTCAAAACCTGCAATATCGACATTCAACTTCATAAGGGTTTATGAAGCATCAATTATAACCCAGATCCAAAAGCTCCAAAGCCATTCTCAAGCTTCTTTTCTTACCATTCGTAGTTTTATCAAATTCAGCTCTTTCACTCTGCACAGAGTGAGCTTGAAGCTTATTAAGACGTTGAATGTCAGTGTCAAACACAGAGGTTTTCCATACATTTGATTCCTTAATAAGGCATTGCGGCTGCCAAGAAGGAGGAGGAACGATACGACAAATTCCATAAGGTTCTGCCCTTAGACGTATGCTCTCAATATACTTCAGTGTGTCAGCAAATTCCTGGAATGAGGTTGAAAATCCTTAAACACTTGAAGTGATTACCAGCTGAAATTGACAAAAGATACTAGGAACATACAACAAAAAAAGTGGAACTAGTGAAAGGGACAAAAGTCATTTTCTATAGTGAGACAAGAAAGACCTCTTTAGTTGGGTAAAAAATGGGAACCTCTTCAAGGTTGTATGCTTTTGCATCTTCATGAAACAACTCTGGTTTTATCTGTTCCAAGGCTTCAATAGATATCATGATGCATCAAAGCAGCAGAGAAGCTTAATACAGCTTTAACAATTTTGCAAAGCATTCAACAGAAAATAAAATTATAAAAATGAACCTTATGAGAATTACTTCTATTTGGGCATCCATGGGTTATCTCTTTCTGAAGGCCACTCTCAGAGGAAAGATCCTGTTAATCAAAAAGCATTCCTATTTAGGGATGATATATCTGAAAGAGATAAAAAGAATAGGTTTAACGGTAAACAACAAACATCTCTACTAGAAACAATTGTATGTTCTTAAGATATAATACGCCAACAGCTAAATATATTGTACACCATCTACTAATATTAGATGATGTTCATTACTAAGATAGCAGAAAATAGGCACTCTACACAATCATGGAAAAGTTGAACTTCGAACCTTATCAGATTCCTCTGTAATTTGGTTCCTCTGGTTATAGAGTATCCATGGTCTACTCTTAACAGATTTCTTTAACATTTCAACATCAACCTTGTCAGGTGTGGCCTTCGTTTGCATTGGATTTCTTTTGGATGCATCCATATAAGACATCCAGCAGGAAGTTTTTTGGCCATTTTCTTCCTTCCTCAAGACAAAGGATGTAAGAGATGCAAAACCTGGTGGAACAGCAAGTCTGCCTGGATCATCATTAAGCAAAGCTCTTTTGCATTCTGCCCCCATTTGCACCCTTGAATGAAGGAAACAGTAACACTTTAGCATTTTACATATCAAGAACAGACATCAAAATAAATTCTGATTGATGAACAAGTAACCCAAAAGCTCAGATTCTCAGACCAACAAAAATCTGTCTTGAAAGAACTGCAACAGCCAACTAGTAAATCACAGAGGTGGTAAACTAATTAGAAATGGAACTGAAAAGGGCAATAAAAAATTCAGTCCTCCCACTCATAATGGGTTCAACGTGTTACATGATTACCCATATCTTATCAACCTTGCAAAATTCCTCTCTTGTTTACTCAGAGCCAGTGGCTAGTACCCAGTATATTATATTCAAAAAGCAACCCAAAAAAAGGTTAAAAAGAACATTCATATCACCGAAAAAGGTAAAAGCATGCGTTCCAACTCAATTCACAGCAGTTCCCATCTGGGTTTTCAACTGCAAGTTTGAGAAAGAGAAATGAGAAGAAAAAGAATGAGGATACAATTCCAACTACAGTCTACAGCCATTCCCTTGCTTATACTGAATTTCATATGGTGTTAACTGAGACGCATACCTCACAGGACTATCTGAATGAAGAGCCCAGGTGTGAAACGGTAACTAGCACCGGAAATCTGAAGGAAAAATGGTTCAGACGGTTTCTGGCATGGGATTCTGCCGTTTCTTTCTCTATGTGGTTAGCTGATCTCAGGACTAAGAACCCAGAGAAGGAACGCCGAAATGGAAACAAATGTAAAATTACAACTGTGCCATCGGGAGTGACGGAAGTCGTTCGGTTCCGTAACCTTGCAAGTACCATTTTATTATTATTATTATTATTTAAATAATATAAATTTATAATATGTCATATTATTATATAATAAATATTATATTATATATAAATTTAAAATATTATTTTTAAAAAAATAATATAAATTTATAATATAATATATTATTATATAATAATTTTTTTTTAAAAATATTTAGATTGTATCTTTTTAAGTTATATGATTCTTTTTAATTCAACGAATTCTCTAATGTCAAATTCATTTTTAAAATAAATAAATTCGACCTTTTCAAACTTAATTAACAAAAATATTAAAAACTCCAGTCTAAAAAAAATAATTCATATCAGTCCATCACATATAAAATGAATTTTATTATACTAAATAATAACTAAATAATTCATAATAAAGTATAAAAACTTAATAATCACTTAATCTCTATAAGAATATATGATACTATTTCAAAAAATTACAATTATAGTGTAACATTACCCTCAAACATTTAACTTTAATTAAGAATGTTTTATTATTATTATTATTATTATTATTATTATTTTCTTCTCTTTCTTTTGCCACCAAAATGTTCGACATATTGGTTGACATGTGGTCATCTTTCTCATCTAGGCTTCTCCAACACTCATTCCCCACTCCCCCTTTTTTTATATTATTTCCTCTCTATTGGCAGAACCCCCAACTCAGGCTCTTCATTTTCATCAAAACCTCATCCTCTCAACCCCTTCAAAATCTGTCATCTCCCTCTTTTGAAATCATCATCTTATCTCCAAGCAACTACAATTATAGAGAAATTTGCCAAATCAACCACATACCGAGTTCTATAAAATGGCCTCCAATCGCAAAACACGCCACACCACACTTATTCGCAGTCGTCCATGGTTTCTCCACCGACAAAAGGCCTCGATCGAGCTAGACAACAATCCTGATGATTTCAACATCGAGGTACAAATTTCAGCCTTTCCCTTCATGATTTTTAGGTCCTATTTGCACTGAGATTCCTTTTGTTGATCTTCAGTAATATTATCCACATCTTAAAAATACCCATTTCCATTCCAAGTTAAACCCTTTTGGGATGATTGGCAAAAGTGCATTTTGTTTCCTGGCCAATGTCAAAGCTAAGGAATGACCTGCTTGGGTTGCTAGAATATCTCCATTTTTCTCCCAGAAT